TGTCACCCTCTCCAGCACTTAAGAAGTGATTAAAGCAAAAAAAACGGCCTTACTACTAAGCACCCCGCGATTACGGTTTCCATGCCACCCTATGAACACCAGAGGATACAAAAGAGTACAGTCAAGAAAAGCGGTAGCTCACGTGTCTGTTCGCAGATGTGTCGTGCCTCCAATACACTAATGTTCATCTGCTCTAGGTCTCGAAGTAACTTCTCATTTTGCATCTTTAACCTTCCCAACTGTTTCTCCTTGTAATACTTAATTCGTTTTTCAATTTTGTCCATGAATTTTCGGTGATTCTACATTTGAGAGCAATTTTAGGCATCTGTTGGAGGAATGTTTGTAGCAGGAAATAATACTTCTGTACTTACCGCCTTCAATTGTGCATAGGTGTGCTCCGAATTGCTGAGTTCAGTGGATACAAGAGCCTCGTAGTCGGGATTTTGCAAATACTGCAATGCAAATGGGAGAAAAGACATTTTCTGTTTGCTTTATGAAATGCTTACTCGTTGAATTTCTCGAGTGATGGTGAAGTTGGTTATTTGCTTTTGCCTGTCCACAAGATCCTCATATCGCATCAGCATTTCTCGCAAATCCCTAGGGCGTGATGAGAATAAACGAACTCACCACTCAAGCATCTTAAATCTACGCTTATAGGACTTGATTAGTTCCATGTGATTGATTTTTTCATTGCTAAGTTGGATAACTTGAGCGTTAAGATCTTCAATTTGTTTGCGGTTAATGAGGAGGCAGGTGTTAAAGTCCTCCACCAGACGTCCCGGCTTCACCTCAATTTCCACTTGGCCCTGAGGCATGAGTATGCTAATGTCCACGTTTGTCATTGTTCGGTAGATCTTTGCCTTCAACTCACTCCGTGCTGCTTCAACTTCGTCAAGCTCCAGCATTGCATCCGCCAATTCTTTTTCACGACGCTGCACAGTATTAGGGAAATGCGTGCAAAAAATTAAACACTAAATCACCACACGAAATGGAATGACGAATAGATTAAGCCAAACTGAGGACCGTAAATCCACATTTTTGCCTACATGAAAAAGTACCAACTTTTATTTGTACTTAATAAATTTCAGTAGCGCGTTTATTGCATCTTTTCCAAGGACGCAGGTTGTTGATTAAATTTGAAGGGTGCACAAAATGCATTACCAAGGTGGTGGTACCACCAATTATGTAGGAAGCGCTTCTCAATTTGCTGATTGTGGAAAAAAATAGTCCAAATCTAGGTAATAAGTGAAATCCATCCCCTCAAAACCATTTTCGGGCTTTGAGGACAAAAATTAGCCCAAGGGTATCAGACGTAGTAAGCATACTGTGCTAAAAGCGACTCCTCAAAATACTGTCAAAACACGCTATTAACAAGCGTTGTATTGCCACCTTTCTAGCCTCAGTGACAGCATAAGAGCTTACTTGCAAAAAAGCCATAGTGCTGTTGAGACGGTAAGTGGCATTTCTTAAGTCCATTTCTTTGCCCACTTTCTTAAGCCGTGCTTTCTGTAGTCGTTCCCAAATGGCTGGATCTACGTTGAATTCGGCCATCTTATTGACCTCATCGTATTCATTTAGTGCACGTTGAATGGCCGCCCACTCAGCCTCAGGGGAACGAATGCGAGCCAACGCCTCAGCATACGGATTTCTGCTATCCCCCAAACTTGGCTGAGTAAGAACACTGGATCTATTCTTCTCATCTCCGTCTTTCTCCTCCTCTCTTTCCTCCTCGTCTGCCCCCAATCGTGTCTCCATTGCCAGTCGCCTGGACAATGAGGTGAGAACATCTGTTATTCGAGGTACAGCTGTTGGCAAGACAAAAAAAAAAAAACATCTCCAAACACCTCAACGACAAACGCACTTGGGCCGTCGTTTAAAGGCTTTGTGGATAATGTCATAAGTGACACCGTGGACATCATAAAACTCCTTGCGAAAACCCCTCTCCATCATCCTATCTTCCACTGTGATTAATTCCACGTCTTCTTGAAGCTTCTCTGTCAACTCCTTTGCTTGTTGAATGATGCTATTAAGCTAGAGTTTTTAAAAAAAATTATTATTATTATAAGTATTTTGCAATTCAGTTGCACCCTCTCTAACCATAACCGAGGCACCCACCTTTACAACTTTTGCCTCAATGTGAGTCTTTGTTTGTGCATACAATTTAGCCTCATTTTCAAGTTCTCGAGCCTGTAGAATGGAGGCACGCAGTTTCCTCACCTTCAAGTCCTCCATTTCAATGCCAATTTCATACTTAATGTAGGTGTGAAAAAGCTTTACAATATCCTCATTTATCATTGCCTTTGTCTCCTCAATTGCCGCCTCATTTTTTCTCATCTCACCTTCTAGGTACTGTAAGAGAAGAGGATTGCCCTCCTTTAGTCTTTCCACTCTAAGAGGCATTAACAAAGGTCGTAATAAATGGCATTAAGCTGATCCCTCAACGTCCAACAAAGGACCTTAATTCGGTAAGCCCCACCAATTGAAAAAGAAACTCACCTTTCTATATTTTTCCCGCTCCTCCTCCAAATTTTTGCAAGCCTGAAGGTAATTTCGATAAATTTTCTTCTCCTCAACAGTCATTTCATGCTCCTGTTTACCAGCCAAAACCACAGCTGGAATTGGAATGTCCTTTTTCAACTCATCCTCGCGTCTCACCTCCAACACTCCACCCATCATATCGTCGAGACCACGTTCACGCCAATTGTCCAACTGTTCCAGTCTCAATCGTTCTGCCTCTCGTGAAGCAGCAATTTTCATCTCTTCAATCTCCTCAGGTGACCGATACCTCTCCACATCCACCTCCTCGTCTGTACACATTAGTAGTCTCTCCACCTCCTCCACCGGTTGCAATTCGTATTGTCGCATTGATAGCAAGGGAGCGGTGGGATCCACCTTTGGAATGATGTCGTTAATACGTCCAACACGTTTTTCAATCTCTTCAATGTGTTCACGTTTGCGTGCAAAACAGGCATCAAATTCGGCGTTAAATTTCATCTGCATTTTTCTAATTAAATCCTAAATTAAGTGCAAATGCAACACCACTCAATCCTCCAACAACTTAAAGGCAACTGAAGGTAGTCAAACCTGAATGAGGACAGCTTGTGTCAGTTTTTGATCATTTGTAAATAAGTCCATTTGATTGTAGAGAAGTTTAGTAGATATTCCAAATTGGGCAGCTAAAAGTGAACGTCAAGACGCCCTACCACACTCACCAGTGGAGCCAAGATGATCATCGCCACTTCTGGACGCCACCTCATCCTCCACCACCTCCTCCGAACTGCCTTTTTCACTCTCCTTTGTTAGGCGGCAAGAAAAAAAAAAAGGTTTTGCCTTTTAGAGGAGTTGTGAAGACAAACTCCACAACCATAAAGCCCTACAACTTACTGATGAAGAGGCTTTTTTAAACACCTTTTCATACTCCTTTTTGTAAAATCCTTCAACAGCAATTTCAATCCGTCGTCGACTCTTAGCCTGACTCAAAAGTCGACCCACCTCTCGAGTTGGTGGACAGAGGGGATAATTTGGCACTTCTATGGGAAGATCGTAGGCAAGGAGGCTACGACCTTTGACCTCTTGCATCTCCCAACACCGTGACTTTAGGACACTGTGAGTGAAACTCCTCACAAGATCGTCGTGCTCAATTTCTGCCCGCCTCTACACCAACACAGGGGGAAAGTGAGTTAGTAATATTTGCAAGCCACCTTTTGTAATAGGCTATTTGTCTCCTCAAGTATGGCATTCCTTTCCTCGGAGTCCAATTCAAACTCTGTAATTGCCACTTTTTCCAATTCCGTTAACTTGTCATTACTTTCAGCCATTTTTTCCAACTAAATAAGAACAATAAAAGAAAAAAATAACAATAGTAAGTGAAAAGTGGGGGGGAGGGGGGGTAAAGCGACAACAAAGAAAAGTGGCGTCTTACCTCCTTTTTGATTTGATCAAATCCCTCAACTATTCTACTTTTTGTGGTGTTCAGTGTCTCCAAGTCTTTGGTGCGTTGTTTTTGAAATTGTTTTTCTAGCCATGTGAGTGGTGAGACCTTTCGATCAATTTTGATGACTCTGAACTCCTCATCGGTGACACTGGCAAGGCTACTTCTAACAAAGGAATGACTAAGTGATGTGTCATTGTTGCTGTTGGACGCCCAGGAGTCGTGTGTCATGAGAGAAAGACGTTTGGTTTCAGCTTCTCTCTCCACTGCCAGCAACGCTGCCTCATCGATGGGAGGAATCTTTTCACTGAGATATAGTAAAATAAATAAATAAAGGATTACACAAATTAAAGCAAAAAATTGTATTAACTAACCTTAAATTCATTGCACAACATCCACCATCTTGCTTGACAGTTGCAAGAACACCAAAATCTCTTGTTACTGCAACCTTAGTGGGAGCACTGGTGCTCTCGACAAGGGGAAAGTATCCCATCACGGATGAGGACTGAAAACACGGGTAAAGTGTATTTCCACAAACTCACTGTGTCATCCAATTTTAAGATGTAGAACACACCGCCTTGAGTAGGAGCAATGAGA